AAGCATGCCTCTCCCCATTTCTGCAAACACAGGCAGAACATTATTTTTATATGCAAAGCTTAACCTGCCAGGGAAGACAGTTTCCTTCAGCAAAATGAACAGTGGAGGAATGAGCCCAAAATGCTGCAGGCAAAAACACAGAGGAAGATTGGTTGGAAATAGTACTTAATAGATTATCCTACCAGGGGAGCTTTCTAGATTTTAAAAAAAATCCTACTACATCAAGGGTGGGAAATGCGGCCCTCCATATCTCCACGGATTGCAGTTCCCAGCAAGGAAGAGGAATGCTGGGAGTTGCAGTCCAACCTAGGGATACCATTCTTTGCTAGTTCCATTCCCAAAGGAAGCAAAAAAAAAAAAAAAGATAATTTTAACCATTTCCTTCCTGTACCAAGAAAGTCTTTGAAAACTGTACACTTTAAAATAAGAGTTTGCAGCTTGGGACTCGTTCTGCACAAAATTCACACATAGTACTTTTGCAGAGAGAACGGCATTTTCCATGAAGAAAATAATACTTCTGCAAATGCACAGAGAGATTGTTTCTATGCAATATATATATCTTTCCTTTAAAGAAAATGTTGTAGTGGAGATTTTTTCTGTGCAAAATTTGCACATGGTGTGTGTCTTTGTGTGTGTGTGTGTGTTGTGTTGTGTTTGTGTATGTCTGTGTGTTTTCAGAAAGCAGTGGTAACTGCATGTTTTACACAGAAAACAACATTGCTATGCAGGAAAATGCAGAAAATTCTACACAGAAAATCTGCACAGAAAATCTTGTTAGATTAAAATCATGCAAAGTGCAATTTCATACAGAATAAAGTCTGAACTACAGAGATTCTCTTCAGTCCAGGATTCTTCTTCTTCTGTTTCTAATTAAATTTTTATAGAGTTTTTACAATAAAACACATAACATCTGTAGAACATTGACAACAACAATTAACTACAAGGGCCAAGGTATGTATGTGATGGGTATTTATTCTGAGATTTGGAGCTTGTCATGGCACCAGAGCTCTCTGACAGAGAAGGTTAAGTAGCTCAGAAAACTACAAATCCCAGAATTCCACAGCACTGAGCCATGGCAGTTAAAGCTGTATCAAATTGCATGATTTCTGCAGTGCAGATTCAGCAGTAGTTAAAAATAGAGGTCAGGAGAGGATAATTCTCACATCCATACATAGTGATGGGGAATACCATGGCTTAGACCACTGATGCCCAAACTTTGGTCCTCCAGATGTTTTGTGACTTCAGCTCCCAGAATTCCTGACAGTTGTCTGAGCTGGCTGGGGCTTCTGGGAGTTGAAGTCCAAAACACCTGGAAGACCAAAAACAATTCTAACTTTAGTGCTTGATCCCTACTCCTTAGGATCTTGTCTAGTTCTTCCATAGCTGTCCTTCCAAGTCTTAACCTTCTTCTGATTTCTTGGCTGCAGTCTCCACTCTGATCTACATTTAATCCAAGGTATGGGGACTCCTCCTTGCAAAATGTTTGGTTTTGCCAATGAAAGCTACCAAGAACCTCTAGAAAGGGCAAGTATTTTGTGACGTTGTTGACACTTATCATTACAAAATGTGAGAGGTCCTATTGCCGAAAAGTCATTGCCTGGAGCAAGCGTTTTGCAAACTGAAACAGGTCTTAACAACCCAACAGCAATTGGATGGAGGATTCTGTTCGCTGCGGTCCAAACTACATGCTCAGCCTGTGAATGTCCATTTCTTGTGGAAATCCTGCCTCCAGTCTCCTTTCCCAATGAAAAGGAAAAGAAATGAAACTTTAGGAGGCTCGAGTCCAACTGTTGCTCAGGAAACAGTGTCTGGCCATTCACTTACCGTCGGCTGGCATCCAGACTGAGCATTTTTCAACCACACAACATGCGGTGGGAGATAATAATAATAATAGTAATAATGATGATGCCAGGGAACTTCTGTCTGTTGATAATATTTACAGCAATTCAGGAACAAAAGAGCTGGCAGCTTGTGAAGTACACCATCAGCTCAGTCCTTGCTCCAAAGGCAGCAGAGGAAATTGTCTGTATCTCTCATTCAGGGCTGCATTAGTAGGATATTTACAAGCCCAGCAAAACCTGTCCTTTTCTTTCCTTCCTTTCTTCCATGGCAACAGATATTTCTTTTGTATATATACAAATATCCTTTAACAAATTATATGTTAAGATTACATTATACACATAATTTCCTTTTTCTTATGCAATTAAAAAAACAGTTACAACAGTAGTTTCCATATTGAATGCCTACAGTAACTTCTCCTTCCACTTCGTTTATCATTAATGTTCTGACAACTTAATCTATTATTATCATCACTATTATCCCTTTCTCTCTCCATTACATCTGTTTCCCTCTTTGCCATCTTATCTGTATATTCCACCGCTAATAGTTGAACTTCATCTCCTCTTAATAATATTTCCATAAATAGAGGAAAAACCAGTGTACATGGACTGAGAAGTTCCAGTATCGTAAGACATAGACCCATTTGGAGCTTCACAGGGACCAGTTTGTAATTCCACATTTTGTAATGATAAGTGTCTATAAAATAAGACTTTTCCATTTTTCTCCTTCTAGTATTTTACTACTGGAAGCCAGTCTTCCTCAGCTATTTTTAGAGATTTATTATTCAGAAGTTTGTCTAATTCTAACATATCAGTAAGCTCTATCAGCCATTCCTCCAAGAAGCACTTGGAGAGGTTGAGGCAAGTGATCCCCTACAAAGAAAGACGGAGCAGAATGTAGGATTGGACAGAAGAGTCAAAAATAGTCAAAGAAAGGTTGAAAAATAGCAGTTTTTCTGAGTGTCAGAAAACCTTGAAGAAAAGACTACAAGATGGGCAAGAATCTTTGCAGTTTGGACCTTACTCTGTGTGGAAAACAGCTGTAGTTTTCTGTACACAAAAAAATGACATCTTTGTGCACAGAAAATATAATTTCTGCATGATACACTTCTGTTCTGTTCTGTGCAGAAAATGCATTTCCTGTGTAAAAAACAACAACAAAAAACAACCCAAACAACTTAGGAAACCTATTTATTTTTTTGTGGAGAAATCAACATTCATATTTTCTTTGCAGAAATTGGACAAAATTGTGTACATTTCTGCACTAAACTGTGCCTCTCCTTCTTTTTTGTTTTTGCACAGAATAAGTCCTAAACTTTGAAAATTGCATAGTTTGTAATGATTTTTCTCACAGCAAGGAGAGAAATGGTAAGTGCACAATTGTTCATTCTTGCCTTTCAGAATGAGATTTACAAAGCTTTGCACCCTTATAGAAAGTGCCTTGGAAACTAGGCAGCGGCAAACAAATAAATACATTCATATACAATAGTCTTCTTCAACTGTGGCCGAATATCGCTTTCTTCCAGGAGGCACAGCATCATAGTTTCTTTTACACTCCAGCGTCTCATGTCTTCATTGCATAAGATAAGCAAGTCCCACTTTGCAAAGAGGCTGAAAAGGTTTCTTCTGACTCACCACCAAGAAGGCAGCTCTGGGATATAAAGGGATATCATTGCATGTTGGGCTGCATCCAACTATTCCTTCCAGGTAAAGTCACATCCGGTGCGTTCTGTGAACTGACCTTACATAGCTCTTGAACTGCCTTCGAGTTTTGCTATTGTGGCTCAGCTCAGCACAAAGTGATAAGATGGGGAAAAGATGCTTGCATTTCATAGAATGCGATCCCTTTGGTCAATACTCAAGACTGCTCCTTGATATGTTGTATTTAAGTTTCAGTATGTAGAGAGGTTTTGTAGCACCTGTGAGACTAACTGAAAGAAAGAAGTTGACAGCATGAGCTTTCCAAGACTTCAGTCTACTTTCTGAGATCCATTAGTCTAGGAAAGCTCCTGCTGCCAACTTCTTTCTTTCAGTGAGTCTCAAAGGTGCTACAAGATCTCTCTGCATACTGATTCTACAGACTAACACGGCTATATCTTTAAGTTTCAGTGTGATTTTGGATATTGTTTATTATTTACTATATTTACTATATGTTAGCCCCTTCCAGTTCGCTAGGATATGTTCTGTGAAAATGGAAAATTGGCAATATTTGAGTGCCATCAAAAATAATGGTGTGCATCTCTGTGGTGCGCATGCGGGACCATGCACAGGTGTGTGCCGCCATTTTGTCCCTCCCCTCTTGCCATGCAACAAAGAGCGAGACTGCGGACTCCAAGTCCGCAAATGAGGAGGGACGATTGTATTTACAAGAGCCACTATGATGTAATGCAGTGATTCCCAAACTCTGGTCCTCCAGTTGTTTTGGACTTCAGCTCCCAGAAGCCACAGCCATTTTGGCCAATGGTCTGGGATTCTGGGAGCTGAGGTCCAAAATACCTGGAATTATATAGTTTGGGAATCACTGTGTCATGGTTTGAGTGTTGGACAATGAATCCCCATTCAGCCATGGAAACACACTGGATGACCTGGGGCAAGTCATGCTCTCTCAGCCTCAGAGAGCGCCAAAGCAAAACCCTTCTGAAGATACTTGCCAAGAAAAATCTTGTGATAGGTTCACCTTATGGTCTTAGGAAACAACTCGAAGGCACACAAACAAACCTGAGTATAAGTTGACTTCATGTATAAGTCAAGGACAAAGTTTTGGGCCAAAATTATGGATTTTGATATTACCCATGGATAGGTCAAGGGTTAACCTTAGGGGCATGGAACAAAGGATGTAAAGTATGAAAGGAAAGAAAATTATGCCGAAGAACTTACAAAACTGCAGCAGGCACAATTGCTTGTGTTTACCCTAAAAACTGGAAGGATGAGGAAGAAACGACAGAAAATGGTGAGTGTGTGATGTTTTGGAGAGAAGAGAGGTACAGGCTAGGCTTGTTGTTGTTGTTGTGTGCCTTCAAGTCATTTCTGACTTATACTGACTCTATCATTGGGTTCTGTCATTGGGTTCTCTTGGTGACTTTTCTTCAGAGAGGGTTTGCCATTGCCTTCCCCCAAAGCAGAGAGAGTGTGACTTGGCCACGGTCACCCAGTGGGTTTCCAGCGCTGAGCCGGGATTCGAACCCTGGTCTCCAGAGTCATAGTCCAATGTTCAAACCACTACACCACACTGGGTCTCACAGGCCAGACGCACGCTTCTATTCCCCAGGGATTTATGAGAAATAAAAATGAAACCCCCTCCATGTCCTAATAATTGTGAAAATGAGAAATATCCTGATCATTGTGAAAATGGAAGCAATGGGAGGGAATTGGAGAAAGGTGGTTGTTGTTTTTTCCTACTTGAAAGTTTTCATATAATAAGTTTTGTCTTGCTGTTTATTTTTCTTATTACAAGATTATGGAAAATGTATTCAAACAATATTAACATAATTACCCCTCAAGTCTCTAAAATCGCTATGCAAAAATATTCCAAGTACGGTACGCTCGCACTTCCGCATATGTTTAGTAGTCATAAGGAAAATCAGCGAAGCCTCCTAAAATGTTTAAATCCATTCATTTGTGAACAAGATGTTGCTGGGCATTTTGCAGAGATACGTTTATAGCCATCATAAGGAAACCAACAGGATCCCTATAGGTAAGTATGAAAGAGGTAAAATAGCATCTCAATTTGCCAGGCGTGTGCATTTGACTGTGAACGAAAGTTCCTTTTCACTAGGTCACTTGGCAAATTAAACCTATGTGCAATACCTTCTACAATGCACCCATCCATGTGGTAGACTAAAAAGTGACATAATTTAAAATATAATTATAATTTTAAAAATTCTAAGAGCATGCATGCAAATAAAGATCTGTCCCTGAAGTGTGAAATAGAAATAGAAAATGAAGTCATTTTCCCCCCATATATTCCTAAAACGAAGGTCCAGAAACACACTGCAGAAATAATCCCATTTGAGACTGCTTTAGCTGCCCTGGCTTAGTGCTAGGGAATCCTGGGAATTGTAGTTTATTGTGGCATCAGAGCTCTCTAACAGAGGAGGCTAAATGTTCCCCCAAACTACAGTTTCCAGAAATCCCTAGCATTGAGCCAGGGCAGTTAAAGCGGTCTCAAAGTGGATTATTTCTGCAGTGTGTTTTGGACCTCAGTTTGAGAAACGTCAGACCCTCAGCAAAAACGTCAGCAAATAGAGTGGATGAAGCCCTTTATGGATGTCCACCTCTTGTTTCTCCATTACTCCAGCACTCTCCAGCCAAAGGACATCAATTGTTGAAACATCAATCCCGTCATGCCCGGGGAACATAACTAGAAACAGTGGGGAGTGCAATCTGGCACATCTGAAAGACCCTACATTGGGAAAGGTTGCCTTGGAGTGTTGCAAGTTATTTCCTCCCCTCCAAGTATTTGTTATCTCTGAAAGAATTGAATGTATGAGCAAATCTTGCCAAGAAAACCCCCCATGATAGGGTCACCATAAGTCAGAACCAAATTGAAGGCACGCAACAACAGCAAACAACAATAACTCATAATGGACTACTTTTGAGAGGTCTTGTTTGCACCCCGGAAGGAGTGCAAGAATCTTTCCACTGGTGCATTAAAGATTTGGCATTAGCTCTCCTCCCGCAGCTGTTCCTCTCTTTCCCCGAAACGTTTAGCATCCACGCTGGAACAAAATATTGTTTGCAGCTTTGGGTGATTCAGCAGAGGTGAGTAAGGAAGGTCCTCATTTCAACTGCTGGCTTCCAGATGCTCCCATGAAAAAGGACTGCTAAGGAAGCCTTCCAGTCTGTGGTTACTACATGAAACAATAATGAATGGAGGGGAAAGAGCAACTGAGTCATCAAGCATCGCCCAACCATGTCCACAAGGGTGAGAAAGAGACCAGGCTTGTTAGATTCTCAGCTGATCTTTATGTGTGTTCACTGGGTACTTTTGGAAATTGTTTGCAAACTCCAGCAGGTCCAAAATGCTGTGGTTGGACAGCTGACCAGGGCTAGTTATAAAAGCAGACAACTCCCTTGTTGCAACAGCTCCACTGGCTACCAATTTGCGGAATTGGAATTCCAGCTACTGGTTATGACCTATAATGTCCTATACCACTTAGGTCCAGGCTGTCTGAAAGACTTTAACTCCATATATGAGCCTACCTCCTTTTAAGGATACTTCAAGGAAAGCTTTCTTTTGGCCCCGCCACCAGCACAAGACCTTCTCAATGGTTGCTCCTAGTTTATGGAATACTCTTCCAAAACAGGCTTGGTAGCCCCCATCCCCAGTCTCATTTTGCCAGTTGCATCTATGCATCAGAAATAACCCATTTGACACTACTTTAATTACCATGGCTCCATTCTATGGAGTACCAGAATTCCCTAAAATGGAGCCATGGCAGTCAAAGCAATGTCAAAGTGGATTATTTCTGCAGTGTGAATGCAGGCTTAGAGAAACTGGCTGAGGCAATGGAACAGGAGTGCTAGCTCTTAAAATGTAATAGGTTTTAATGGGTTTTGAACAGTTCTATGGGAATGTTTTCAAGAGGATTGTAGTATAAGAGCAACAACATTGTGGGGAAAGAACATTTGACCCTTATTTAAAACGGTTTTTCCACTGAAATGGGGAAAGTGGAAGAGAGGAAGGCCACATGCCAGATGGATGGACTCTATTAAGGAGGTGACTATAGGTATTAATGGGTTGCAGGAATGAAGCAGAGCAGTGGAGGACAGGGGGTCTTCTTGGAGATATCTCATCCATAGGGTTGCCATGAGTTGAGATCCACTTGAAGGCACTTAACAACAACAACAACAAACACACATGAGCCAAACTTTCTCAAAGACCCCCAGCACAACTGATCATCCCATCCAACTGAGCACAGGATGCCAACAAAGAATTATTGTTCTCACACAAGTATGCTTTGCTTTGCAGCAGCTGCAGGAACAACAACCCTCTCCAGATTACCAAGTTAAGATGGAAAATTCTTGCTAAAAGCTTTTTATCAGCTCTTGACCTGCTCCACTGAAAGGATGGACCAGATTCACCAAACAGCAGGTTCATTTCCCAACAATAATGGCAGAAAGACTTGTATTGCCTTGCACTCAAGGGGGTCATTTATTAAGGAGGATAAAGCAGACGCTTATCCACATTTGCCCATCCAGTGGTACAAAAGGAACTTGCTTCCCCGGTGTGCTCAAGGAGAAAGGGAGGATTGTAGGCTCCCATGCAAACAAAGTCTCTGCCTGAGAGCAGAGGCAGAATAATTATTTCTGTAGGAGAATGTAAAGTTCAGATAATATCAGTGGATTGCCTCCCAAACATTTACCTTAGTTTGCATGCCTTATGATGTATAATATCCACTTAAGGGAGTCAATGTGGATAGTAGGGCAGTTTGATGGCTGCTATGGCTCAATGGTATGGACTCCTGGGATTTGTAGTTTGTTGTGGCACCAATGCAATCTGACAGTGAAAGCGAAATAGCTCACAAAACTACATATCTCAGTGTTCCATGGTGATAAGCCATGACAGTTAAAGTGGTGTGAAATTGCATTATCTTTGCAGAGCAGATTCAACCATGGCTTTCTTCCGTCTCGCTCTAATTGGGTCAAGATTGGTACGAGCAGAAGAGAGAAGGCAGGGAATCAGATTGAGGACCCCGAGGCATGGAGCTACATAAGAGAAGCTTGCTGAAGCCAACCATTCCTGCCTTCTATGGCTCCAGAGCAAAGCAGGGAGCCAGTCCATGGGCCCTGGTGGCCCAATTAACCTCAGCACCTTTTGGCAGTTGCATCCTTGACATACCTTTAAGGCAGGCAGGTGAGCAGTGCATTGCAGCAGAGATCTGGTGCGAAAAGCTAAACTGAGCTTACTTTCCCAAGGCGGTCTATGAGAAGTTGACCTGTGTCCTCCTGACCCTCACTAGGATACGAAGGATGGACACACAAAGGAGGGAACAGTGAGTGAAGAAGAGCTACTCTTTGGCAAGTATGCTTATCAAATTTTCAGATGACAGCAAATAAGGAAGGGTAGCAAATACCTTGGAGGACAGGATCAGAATTCAAAGGAACTCTAACAGAGCTGGGCCAAAATTAATATAATGA